ACTGAGCCTGTAGAAAGTCGAGGTTCGGGAAAGGCTTTTAGGTACTGAGATGCTCACGCAGTTCGCGCCGGTGGCTCACTCACCATCAAAGACGCTCGCTTCAGAAATATCCCTGACTGCTGCGGCCTCCACTATGTTTCGAATGACGAATTTCTTAATGGCCTTGTCCTTGGGCACGCATCGGGCACAGTTCGTGCAGCGAATAGGCTGAACATGGCCGCGGCCCTTTTTGGCACGACCGTTGTTCCTTCTTTTCTTTGTCTGCATCAGGATGGAAAATCTGTTAGGAAGGCCGCGCAACTTACCCAGCCTCAGACCCTTTATGGCCACAAGCCGCACTGGCAGCCTCCAAGAAGGCGCTGCTCGGATCTCCTCTTCCTCCGCAAATCCAGTCAAGCCCCGGAGCAAACGTACACTCTACCCACTCCTCAGTGCCCCAGGATCTCAAATCTCCACAATCCTAGAGTCTGCACCCGACCCCCACGCTAACCACGCGTTAGGACTCACCATTTTGGAAGCTCGCAGCAGAGAAAGAAGGCGACAAGCGGCAGGGCCCTCTTATATAGTAAGAGATCCCTACGCGCCCACCGGGAGAATCTTTAGGTGACGGGCGTCAAGAACGGCCACTCACTTTACTCAAATATTCCTTTACGTTTAGCATTTCTACTGAAATACAGGGTTGGAAGGCGTTCCTATCGTTTATTTATCCGTGGAACAACGTGCCCATGGGACTATTTAGCCGGCTGGCGGAAGAAAATCGGGGTTATGCGTCTCCCAGCAAGCCTAGCGCCGCGTCGACCCGGACGCAATTCTGGGCGGTGTAGTTTTTCCGGTTTACGCGGCAGTAGGCATGGAAGTTGCCTCGCGCTGGACTGCAAGGCGCACTCTCTATTAGAGGCCAGAGAAGGAGAGATGCCTGGTGGGAGTTGTAGTGCGAAGCCAAGAGGCCTCCTGGCCCCAAGTCCTTAGACCGAAGGCGACGCTGCGCCACCGGGGGACGCCCTCGGCTCATTTCTCTGACAGTCTTGCTACTAGCTAGGTGTAGGATTACGAAGAGGAAGACCTGAAAGAAACATTTTGTGAATCCCTCCTTCCAATAAAGAGAAAACCCCACAACGAAGTGCATTGAGGCTGGGGCTATGTCTCATTCGTCTTTTTATCTGTGGACACAGGCCGGGCGCGGTGGCTCAAGCCTGTAATCCCAGCACTTTGGGAGGCCGAGGCGGGTAGATCACGAGGTCAAGAGATCGAGACCATCCTGGTCAACATGGTGAAACCCCTTCTCTACTAAAAATACAAAACATTAGCTGGGCATGGTGGCGTGTGCCTGTAATCCCAGCTACTCAGGAGGCTGAGGCAGGAGAATTGCCTGAACCCAGGAGGCGGAGGTTGCGGTGAGCCGAGATCGCGCCATTGCACTCCAGCCTGGGTAACAAGAGTGAGACTCCGTCTCAAAAAATAAAAATAAAATAAATAAATAAATAAATAAATAAAATAAAATAAATATCTGTGGACACGTGAGCACAATGCCTGGCACTGTGGTAAGAGCCTTTATAAATATTAACCCATTTAACTTTCAGCAAGCCTATAGGTAGGTGCTATGTCCCTCCCCCCCCCCCACCCCCCCCCCCCTACTCCCCGCCCCCTGCCACCTGCCGGCAGAGTCTTGCTCTGTCACCCAGGCTGGAGTGCAGTGGCACGATCTTGGCTCGGCGCACTGCAGCCTCTGCCTCCCGGCTTCAGCCTCCCGAGTAGCTGGGATTTCAGGCACCTGCCACCACAGCCGGCTAAATTTGTAATAGAGATGGGGTTTCACCATGTTGGCCAGGGTAGTCTCGAACTCCTGACCTCGTGATCTGCCCGCCTTGGCCTCTCAAAGTGCTGGGGTTGCAGGCGTGAGCCACCGCGCCCTGCCGGTAGGTACTATTATTATCCTCACTTTAAAGATCGAAGAATTTAGCCAGGCGTAGTGGTGGGCTTCCGTAATCCCAGCTGCTCAGGAGGCTGAGACAGGAGAATCACTTGAACCCGGGAGGCGGAGGTCAGCCTGAGCAACAAGAGCAAAACTGCGTAAAAAACAAAAACAAACAACCCAGAAACAAAACAAAACAAAAACCCAGAAACAAAAACAAAATTAAAAAAATAAAGATTGAAGAACTGAGGTGAAATAGTTATTCTGGCACCACTGTACTATGCTGTATGTCACCTAACAAACGGATGGAGGAAAAGCCTGGACTAATGACTTAAACGTTTTTCACCCAGATCCATAGCACGAATACATTTTACACTGGTACCCAGTACACACACAAGCACAATTACATGCACATACAAAACTGAAACACAAGCTTCATGAAACAATGTCATAAGGTACACTGGTATGTTCTTTTCTCTATTTTATTTGTGTTTTTTTCTGTTCTGTATTTTATTTTATTTTTATTTATTTTTATTTTTTGAGACGGAGTTTCGCTCTTGTTACCCAGGCTGGAGTGCAATGGCGCGATCTCGGCTCACCGCAACCTCCGCCTCCTGGGTTCAGGCAATTCTCCTGCCTCAGCCTCCTGAGTAGCTGGGATTACAGGCGCGTGCCACCATGCCCAGCTAATTTTTTGTATTTTTAGTAGAGACGGGGTTTCACCATGTTGACCAGGATGGTCTTGATCTCTTGACCTCGTGATCCACCCGCCTCGGCCTCCCAAAGTGCTGGGATTACATGTATTTTATTTTAATAAATGGTGATCATAAACTATGAAAGTTATTTCATCACTCATTAGTGATTCTGATCCCTAATTGAAAGATTCTTATGTATAAGTTTCATTTACCTCTGAAAAGCCATCAGAAAGACTTAAGCCTTAGGCCAGGTGCTGTGGCTCACACCTGTAATCCAGTGCTTTGGGAGGCTTTGGGAGTGTGTGTGTGTGGCGGGCGTGCGGATCAGCTGAGGTCGAGAGTTTGAGACCAGCCTGGTCAACATGGTGAAAAACCCATCTCTACTAAAAATACAAAAATTAGTCGGGACTGGTAGTGCACACCTGTAATCCCACCTACTTGGGAGACTGAGGTAGGAGTATCGCTTGCACCCAGTAGGCAGAGGTTGCAGTGAGCCAAGATTGGGCTACTGTGCTATAGCCTGGATGACAAAGTGAGACTCTGTCTCAAAAAAAAAAAAAAAGAAGCTTAACCCTTGAGCAAAAGAAATTTAAGCCTCGAGCAGGAATGACTGTCAACCACCCATTGTCTTCAAAGTTGAAGACACTAGGGTGGCAAGAGGGCCTCTTAGCATTCACACCCAAGACAGTATAGATGGAAACCATTGTTCATTCATGACGCACTCTAGAGTCGGAGCACACAAGATTCACCTTTCCTCCCAACCCATCATGGTTTCTTTTAACCTTTAACCCACTTTTTGGAGGTAAAATCTGTTTTCTTACTTTTTTCTTCTTCGTTTTTTTTTTGAGACAGAGTGTCTTGCCTAGGCTGCAGTGTAGTGGTGCAGTCTTGGCTCACTGCAACCTTCACCTCCTGGGTTCAAGCAATTCTTGTGCCTCAGCCTCCTGAGTGGCTGGGATTACAGGCATGAGCCACCACGCCCGGCTAATTTTTGTATTATTATCATTTTTTGAGACAGAGTCTCGCTCTGTCACCAGGTGCCAGGCTGGAGTGCAGTGGCACGATCTTGGCTCACTGCAACCTCTGCCTCCTGGGTTCAAGCAATTCTCCTGCCTCAGCCTCTCGAGTAGCTGGGACTACAGGTGCGTGCCACCACACCCAGCTAATTTTTGTATTTTTTAGTAGAGACTGGGCTTCACCATGTTGGCCAGGATGGTCTCAATCTCTTGACCTTGTGATCTGCCTGCCTTGGTCTCCCAAAGTGCTGTGATTACAGGTGTTAGCCACTGTGCCTGACCTAATTTTTGTATTTTTAGTAGAGATGGGGTTTCGCCATGTTGCCCAGGCTGGTCTCTAACTCCTGAGCTCAGGATATCTGCCCGCCTAGGCCTCCCAGAGTGCTAGCATTACAGGTGTGAACCACTGCACCTGGCCTTTTTTTTTTTTTTTTTCTTTTTCTTTTTTAAGATGGGTCTGGAGGCTGTAGTGGCACAATCACAATTCAGTGCAGGCTTAACCTCCTGGCCTCAAGTGATCCTCCCGTCTCAGCCTTCTGACTAGCTGGGACTACAGGTATGTACCACCATGCCTAGCTAATTTTAAAATTTCTTGTAGAGATGGTGTTGCCCTGTGTTGCTGAGGCTGTTCTTGAACTCCTAGGCTCAAGTGATCCTCCCAAGTCAGCCTCCCAAGTAGCTGGGATGACAAGTGTGCTCCACCAGTCCGGCTTCCCTGTCTGTTTTGACTTTGAATTTGTCAGTTTCAATAGGACATGGAAAATGATAGACTCTAGATAGGAGTGTCTGATTTTCACTTCACTGTAGTCTCGTGGAAAACAGAAGGCAGACATTAGTGTATGGAATAGCAATGCAGTAGATGGAAGAGAACAGAAAAAAGTTCAGAGTGAAGGAAACAGAAAGTAGTTAATATTCAAGACAGAAACAAATTGATGTTCCTACTTCTGATTTTTCTAGCTTAGACATTTCACTGGCTGCATTCCCTGGCATAAAGGGATAAACACATGTTTTGGAGTCACACACCCCTGGGTTCAAATTCTGGTTCTATCACTTACTGGCTGATGAGCCTTGGACAAGGTATTTATTCTCTCTTGGGCTTTTATTTTTTCACCAGTAAAAAATGTTTTGTGCATAGTAGGTACTCAACAAATGTTTGATTAATTTGTATTTTGGGCAGACAGGCAAGTCAGACTTTCTTTCCTATCCTGAAGGCACTCTTTCCTGGTAGGAAAATCTCCTCCATTTCCCATTCTAGGCTGAAAATTTTTGTTTTGGTTCACCTCCTAAACTGTTCAGTACCTGGTACAAGATGCTGCAAGGAGGACCCCTCCCTCTTTGTAGAAAAGCAAGACAAGGAAGTCTGCGAAAACAACCAGAGGTGTTAAATTACTCATGTTTATTTATAACAGACTTTCAGCCAGTACAGTACAAAACTTACAGTAGTATATCTCCGTTACACAAATATTTACTTACAATATATTACATATACAAAATGCTTTGCAATAAGTCTCAAAAGCTAGTTTAACTCCCCTTGAGAAAGGAGAAAAACTCTTTAAAAAAGGGGGGGAAGGGAAATCAGAAGAAGAGAGGAGGAGGTGAAGGGGTAAAGGTCAAAAGAGACACCAAACATAGGCTACAAAGGAAACCCTAGGAGAGAGAGAAGAGAGGTGGTATTGCACTTGCTTCTGTGTTTATTTTTTCTTTTTGTTCTTCATAATTTCTGATTAAAAATATATATATATATATATATATATATTATGTACACAAGGAAAGAAGCTGCCAGAAGTATTACAAAATCCTATCTGCAGCTTGGACACTGACACAAAAAAAAAGGTCTGGAAAAGTGTCTATTTAGAAAGTTTTTTGTTTGTGGTATTGATTTTGAATAGCAATATAAAAGGAAACACCTCTTTTCTCCATGTGGGTTTCAGTGTGTATTTTTTTTTTCTTTTTCTTTACTTTTTTTTTTTTATGCAAAAGGAGCTGGGAGAGAGCATGAGGATGTTTGAGGTTCCAGAGCTGGAAGGCTCTGAAAAGTAGGATTTTGTACCTAAGACCCTGGTTAAAGTGCAGTGATGGTCTGGAGAGAGACAGGATGCCCCCTCTCCCCTCCTTAGCACCTGGTCTTGCCCTTCCAGTCTCTGCTCTCATGGGCACAGAGTACAGCCTCAGAGCATAGTCCTTCATGTTCCGGGAGGTTACAGGTGCCACAGCTGACTGGGGAAGGGGATGGAGGAACCCTAAGGCTCTGATACCCCAGAAGGGACTTGTCCTTATGAAGTGTCACCAAATACACAGCAGACACAGAAGAGGTGGGACGGGTAGATCTAATAGGAAGGGGCTCAATAACCAGAATAGTTCAGGAAAAGCCCAGAAACTAATCTCAGCTCTGCTGACATTCTAAAAAGGAGCTAGCACCCCTGGGTGCTGTTGAGGATTCTTCCTTTCTCTAGAGACCACTCTCCTCTGAGCTAACCTCCCCATTCTCTGCCCTTGGCAGCATCTATTTATTGCTACATTGTCAAGGGGGAACAATCACCCCACAATGCTTCTCCCTGCCAATCTGGTTCTCTTGGGGAAACCTCATAGTCGGGGAGAAAAAGGAGGACAAAGAGGAGAAAGTTTTTTAGGGTCTCTCTTCCCATAAGAAGGTAAGGTAGTCTCCTTTCAGAGCCCTTAGGAGCCCCAATCCCAGGGTCTGTTCCTTAGCCCACCCTTTACCATCCCCCCTAAAATATCCCTGATAGGGAGTGAGAAAAGTAGGAGGCAAAAGAGCCAATAGGAAAGGACATGTGGAAAGAAAGATGAAAGGGGAAGGAAGGAAAGAGAAAAGGAGAGAGAGAAGGACCAAGAGTTACAACTTGTGAGGTGTTGTGTTTGGTTTTTACTTTTTTTTTTTTTCTTTAAACATAGAAAAACAGGCTTTGGTTTGAATCTCAAGGAAGCAGAGAGTGGGATGGCTGTGGCCTCGGGCAGAAAACTCTTATAGGAAGAGACCTCCATTTGCAGTGGGGTTGTATCTCCTTCTGCCCCTTCTCACTAATTCTAGGTTACTCAAATAGCCAGGGGTCTCTGCAGTAGCCAGGAGGAGTACCCCCTCTACCCTGTGTCTGGGAGCTGAGTGCAGAAGGGGACAGTAAAGGATGACCCCAGTTCAGTTGTACCCATCCCATTCTTGCTGGAACAAGGGTGGAATGGGGTGAAGGGCACATGCCCATGCTCATCCTGGGATAATTTTTGGTTATACTGAAAATTAGAAGAGAGAAAAGAGATACCCGTTTCTCCCTGCCACTGATCCTAAGAACAGGGCCCAGGAGCCCGGGAATGAGAGGGTGAATCCTGCTGGGAGGGAGCAGCAGAAGGCAGCATGACTGAGGGGCGGAGACAACCCCTTGTCATCAGGCAGCAACCCACTAGTTTCTCATAGGATGGGGACTGGAGGGGCCCCTGAGAGCCTAGGAAGGTCACTAGTGAAGAAGTTTGAGGGGTGAAGGAGAAAGAGAAGAATTTTGACCCACCCCTTTCCCATGTCCTGGTTCCTAATTAGGCACCTGTGGCTCCCAATGTGTCAGAGACAGAGGGTTGCAGACCTGGCCTTGGCCCCTGAGAATATAAAATTGGGGCACTCCAAGGAGAGAAAAGCCACCACTGAATAGACCCATAGGTTGAAGGGACTAGAGCAGTGTGGAGGGTTGTTCAAGGAGAGGGACCAGATCTATCACACCCTAGAGGGAGATCCTGAATGTAGGCTTTGAGAACTCCTATTACTAGAGGAACGTCAAGAGGACCCTCAGTCCCACAGTGCCTGGGGAGAATTTCTTCAGCCCCTCCTACTTCCAAATGAGGAAATAATTCTTCATTCATTCAAGAATAGTGCAAGCTGCCTAAAGTGAGAGGGCACAAGAGGTATGGAGTACCAGGTTGAAGAGTCCCAGAGAGGAGACATAATGCCACAGAGCTAAGGTAGGACCAGGGGGAGGTATCAGCATCAAAACTGAAGGATTAGGTAATGTAAAAGGTGAGGACTTAAAGCAAGAAGATTGAAATCTCTTAGTACTAAGAGGAGCTTCCTACCCCTGGGGCTGCTGGAAGATCTAAGAGAAAAATTGGCTTAAAGTGGAAAGGAGCTGTGGGCAGGAGGGTCAGGGAGTGGCAAGCAACTGATATAAGTAAAAAAAAAAAAAAAAAAAAAAAAAAAGGCAAAAAAATCAACTAATTAATAAATAACTCTGTATGCTGGGATAAGAGAAGAGAAAAAGGAAAAACATAAGCAAAAGACCTGTTTCATCACAATGCTTAAATCGGTCAGGATAGAGGAGGAGAATAGGTGAGGAGCGATCAGGGTCAGGTGTGAGGTCAGGTAGCCAGTAGTGGGGGCTACAAAGGAAAACTCCTTGGGAAATGGTGGGGACAGGGATAGATGCCTACAGGCAGGGTAGTGGAGTGGTGGACTGAGGGGAGAGGAAGAGGTTGCTAGCCCACTTTATGCTCCCCACGGACAATGTGGGAGGAGAATTCGTACCGGTCCTGGCTGTGATAACCACAGATGTTGCACTCAAAAGGGTCTCTGAAGCCATGGCAGCCCATGTGGATAGTGAACATGACGTGGTCCAGGAAGAGGATACGGCAGTGCTCACACTTGAAGGCCTTCACAGGCTCACCACTCTCTCCCACCACCCGAAGCACTTCCTTGGAGGGGCCTGGGGTGCCCCGCAGTAACCCCTCCTGTGGCTTGGGGTCCTCTTTGGCGTAGGCAGGACTGTGCCGGCCCACCACAATGGTGGGAGGTGGCTGGGGTGGGGGACCCTGAGGCAGGGATACCACCCCCGCAACGCGATCTTCGTGGTTGCTTTCTGTGTCTGTGGAGTCCTGGCAGCCATTGCTGGGGGATGCCCCAGGGTCGGTCAGGGGGCCTCGGGCCCGGTAGAGGAGGGAACCTCCATCAGCCAGGTCCTCAGGTCCCTCACCTGCTTCTCGGGATCCTGGAAGCTCCAGTCGACCAGGGAGGGGCTGCATCTGGGTGTAGACAGAGCTGATGACAGGTGTGAGTTCTGAGATGCAATTGGTGGGTGGAAGGCGGAGGGGACGCAGATGCTCTGCGCCCACAAAGGCCAGGGAACCTCCAAAGCCAGGCTCTAGGCTGTGGTGTGCCACCAACTCCACATCCTTTTCATAGCCACCCGAGTTCACATCATAGGGGAGGTCTGAGAGGCTGAAGCGCATCTGCTTTTCGCCTGTGGAGAAGAGGAACTCAGCAGGGCTGGGTTTGGAGAATTCCTACACTCTCAGAATTACTTCTTTGTTTTTTTACCTGTGGGGCTGGATGTAACATTATTTACTGCTTTACTTTCTCCAGGGTCTCTGTGGGACTGCTCCCTGACTCTAGGCTATAATCTTAGAGAAGGACTCAATCCCAGCCCACTGATGTTTAATACTTCGTTTTATTACTCTCCATAAAGCTCCGGGTCCTTAGAGAGCTAATGACTAGTGCTGGGGAGTGGGGGAACCACATACTCATTTCCTTTCTCCCACTCTCTAAGGGCCCACACAGACAGACTGAAGCTCTTGTTAATTCTCAAAAACAGAGACAGCCTGATCCCTCAACCTCTGTCCCTTACAACCACCACAAGAGTTTTCAGTGCCAACCCCTCTCCACTCTGAGTACCTCCTCCCTCTTTACTTCCCTCCTGTATTGAGGATAGATTTGAGTATCAGAGGCCACCAGACTGCTTTCTTTCCCTAAACCAAATCTCCAGATCACACAGCTCAGGCGTATTTGAGCTGTGGCTTTAAGCCAATATCTCTTTCCAACTGGATTCTTACCTACAAACTTCTGGGGTGTGGAACGCTTGCGTTTGGTGAGGCTGTTGGCCAGACGATCAATGAAAGTTGGCCGCTCAGAGGATGAGTGCAGCATGGAGTCTGGCACCATCTCCAGGTCACGTATCTCGTCACCTAGTGGGAAGGAGGTGGGGACAGGTAGTAGTAGTTGAGTAGGGGTAGCATTGGCCCAGCAACCTTTGCCTGGAGAAAACCAGCAGGTCAGTAGCCAAGGAAGGTCATACCAGATGCCTGGGAAACTGGGCTCTGTTTACTTTACCCTACCTAAAGCTCACCCCAGCAACATTTCAGATCATTTGGGGACAATCATATACATCAGGCCCTTGTTTTTTTTTGAATGAAGTCTTGCTCTGTTGCCCATGCTGGAGTGCAGTGGCGTGATCTCAGCTCACCACAACCTCTGCCTCCTGGGTTCAAGCAATTCTCCTGCCTCAGCCTCCTGAGTAGCGGGGACTATAGGTGCACGCCACCATGCCCGACTAATTTTTGTAGTTTTAGTAGAGACAGGGTTTCACTATGTTGGCCAGGCTGGTCTTGAACTCCTGACCTCGTGATCTGCCTGCCTTGGCCTCCCAAAGTGCTCGGATTACAGGTATGAGCTACTGCGCACGGCTTTGGCCTTTTGTTTTATACTTCTTGTGTTCTCTCTCTCCTATTAGACTAAGGATATAGACCCAAACTTCCTCTACCTCTGCATCTCCCTAAGGCACCCACCACAGACAAGGCTGTGCACCAACTGGGATACCTGGAATGGGGTGGTTGGCAGATTTATTGGGTAACCATCCCCTGTTCCACAGACTTCATCCCTCGGTGGGGGAGATGCTGGAGTCACCCTTGTCCAGCACTCCCTCTCACCATCCCCTTTCATTCCCCAGTAGTACATCAACAGCCCTACCTGGCTGGCCAGCCAAAGCTTGGGCTTCAGTGCTGAGACTCTGTAGGTAGTTATGGCACCGCTCCTTGTGCTCCTCCAGGGTACTCTGCTGTTTGTAGCTCCGGCCACAGTAGTTACACTTGTAGGGCTTGCCCACTGTGGGAGATGAGACTGTGGAGGAGAGAAGAAAGATGGCATCAGAGCTATTTCTTGTTGTGCCCTGGCTCTGCAGATTCAGCCAGGAGCAAGTATACACTGGCATGGGGAGGAAAGGATATTGCTAAATCGAGTTATTCTGCTTGCTGTTCATTCCCCAACTTGAGCTGCAACCACGGACAGATAACCATATTTGGTGATGAGGGAAAATGTACAGTTATGGGAGCAAGGGAATCCCAGGGCATGTGGCTTCAGACTGGTGGTGGGCTTGTTCAGGATGGCCAAATTGCTGCTCAAAGGAAGTGAGGACCCAGGGACCTTGTAGGGGATCATCCCTAGCAGGCAGGCAGGCAGGCCCCATTGCAGGATCTCAGAGTCTGGGGCCCAGACTGTGGTTTAACCTTTCCATTTGGCAGGCGGATGTAAGTGCTGTTTATCAGACAAGGGGACTTTTTGCTTACGAACTATCTGCTTTGGTTTGGGGGAAATTGGTGGGCTGGCATGACAGAAATGAGAGCCCTTAGATCTCCCCAATGTGGGGAGGGGGCAGTTTTCATTGACCTTTATTTGTATTTTGACCTCCAGCCCTACCCTGGTTTACTGATTATTTTGCCTTTCTGTCTCTCTACACTGAGATACCAGGAGAGACCTAGAAAGCCCATCACTGATAGAGTAATTCTGCAAAGAGAAAAAGAATAAAAGAACAGAGAAGAGTTAAAAAGAAGAGAACACCAAGTTTGTTTGTTTATGTGCTTATAATAAAGAACAGGTCATAAAGATCTTATTTCTACTGAAGAAAAAAATTGGAAAACAGAGTGGTACTTCATTTAAAGATAATTCTTTTTTTTTTTTTTTTTTGAGAAGGAGTCTCACTCTGTCACCCAGGCTGGAGTGCAGTGGCATGATCTTGGCTCAATGCAACCTCCACATCCTGGGTTCAAGCAGTTCTCCTGCCTCAGCCTCCTGAGTCGCTGGGATTACAGGTGCCCACCACCATGCCTGGCTAATTTTTGTATTTTTAGTAGAGATGGGGTTTCACCATCTTGGCCAGGCTGGTCTTGAACTCCTGTCCTCGTGATCCTCCCGCCTCAGCCTCCTAAAGTGCTGGGATTACAGCCGTGAGCCACCGTGCTCAGCAAACACTTATCATTTCTTTGTGTTTGGAACATTCAAAATCATCTCTTCTAGCTATTTTGAAACATGCAATAAATTATTGTTAACTATAGTCACTCTATGCTGTGTAACACTACTACTTATTCCTCCTTTCTAACTGTAAGCTTGTACCCATTTACCAACCTCTCCCTATCCACCTACTCCCAACCCTTCTCACCCTCTGGTAACCACTGTTCTACTCTCTACTTCTTTTTTTTTTTGCTCCGAGATGGGGTCTCACTCTGTCACTCAGGCTGGAGTGCAGTGACATGATCACAGGTCCCTGCAATCTCCACCTCCCAGATTCAAGTGATCCTCCCCGTCTCAGCCTCTCGAGTAGCTGGGACTACAGGTGTGTGCCACAATACCTGGCTAACTTTTTTTTTTTGTATAGAGACGAAGTCTCACTACATTGCCCTGGCTGGTCTCAAACTCCTGAGCTCAAGTGATCTACCAGCCTTGGCTTCCCAAAGTGCTGGGATTATAGGTGTGAGCCACCATGCCCAGCCTACTCCATACTTCTATGAGATCAACTTTTTTAGCTCCCACATGAGTGAGAACATATATCCACTCTCTTTTTTCTTATAATATGGGTTACAACAGAAAGCACCTCACAGAGATGGAATGCAACAGTAGATCTGTGTCTGCTTCTGGTTTTTTTTTTTTTTTTGAGACGGAGTCCCGCTTTGTTGCCCAGGCTGAAGTGCAGTGGTTAGGTCTCAGCTCACTGCAACCTCCACCTCCTGGGTTCAAGCGATTCTCCTGCCTCAGCCTCCCAAGTAGCTGGGATTACATGCACCCGCCACCACACCTGGCTAATTTTTTGTATTTTTAGTAGACATGGGCTTTCACCACGTTGGCCAGGCTGGTCTTGAATTCCTGACCTCATGATCCACCCACCTCAGCCTCCCAAAGTGCTGGGATTACACGCATGAGCCACCGAACCTGGCTCTGCTTCTGTTGTTAAGAATCCACAGAACAACATCCAAAATCGACCTCACTGTGTAGTTGGTAGGAAGTCTAGGGGCCAAGCTATCCTTTTTCCAAACCAGCAGGGGGAGCAGGCCCTTTTCTGAGGAAAAGGAGTACATATTTCTGGCACTGGACTTTGATGGGGTTCCAGCTAGGCTGCAAAATAGCTAAGTGACCCCAAGTCATTTATTCCCCCCAACAGCTTCATTTTCCTTGTCAACAAAATAGGGATAATCACATCTACCTTGGAACTCTTATGAGGATCACATGAAGAAACACAAGTGAAATGCTCTGTAGATATAAAGCATGAATCAGTGATGATCTTTTTCCCTGTTTCTCCACATACATAGAGATAAAGAGGTCCCAGTTACAAGGTGGGAGAACCTGGAACAAGGTAAGTGGATGGAGAAAGTAAAGGGTGGTGAAATTATTGCTCTGTCCCTTTAAATCCTGGCTCAGGAGAGTTTAAGAAAAGAGAAAAATAGCCAGGAAAGTTTCCAAGGACAGACCCTACTAATTCTTTCCCCGCTTCCTTTCTTCCTGCCTTTTCCCAATCTTGAGCTTCCTCCCTCCTGGCCTCTTCCCAAGTCCAAGCCAAAAGCCTAAAGCTTAGTAGAACACCTAAAAAGTGCTATCTGTCCAGCTGATTCAGACAGATACTGATTCAAATAGTCTTGACTGGGCTAGAAAACCTTGTTAAAGGCCGGGCGCGGTGGCTCAAGCCTGTAATCCCAGCACTTTGGGAGGCCGAGGCGGGTGGATCACGAGGTCAAGAGATCGAGACCATCCTGGTCAACACGGTGAAACCCCGTCTCTACTAAAAATACAAAAAATTAGCTGGGCATGGTGGTGCGTGCCTATAATCCCAGCTACTCAGGAGGCTGAGGCAGGAGAATTGCCTGAACCCAGGAGGCGGAGGTTGCGGTGAGCCGAGATTGCGCCATTGCACTCCAGTCTGGGTAACAAGAGCGAAACTCTGTCTCAAAAAAAAAAACCTTGTTAATCCAGTTTCCCAGCACTCTTCCAAACATTCATCTCTAGGCACCCTCTGTACTTTCTCTTGCATCTGGGAAGGTGACAACCTCTTGGGATACAGAACAGAAATAGGATACTCTTTTCCTATTTGGACCTCTTAGGCTCCCTTTTTTTCAGTTTGAGAAGCCATGGATATTTCCAGGAGCCATCAGGAAGTAAAGAAGAGGACAGACTGGTTGCCTAAGACCTCTGGTGGTGTAGAGGGAAGGTGGGTAAAGATGATGACAGGTGTGAGGCCTGGGGCAGACAGGAATGAGAGTAGGGATCTCCCACAGGCTTAGATGTTGGGGGTAATAGGGCATGGATTTCGGCATCAACAATCTAAAACAAGTTAGAAAAGGCCAGGCACAGTGGCTCATGCCTGTAATCCTAACACTTTGGGAGGCTGAGGTGGGCTAATCGCTTGAGATCAAGACTTCAAAACAAGCCTGGGCAGCATAGGGAGACCCTGTCTCTAAAAAAGAATACAAAAATTAGCTGGGTGTAGTGGCATGTGTGGTCCCAGCTACTCAGGAAGCTGAGGTGGGAAGATGGCTTGAGCTCAGGAGATCAAGGTTGCAGTGAGCCAAGACTGCGCCACTATACTCCAGCCTGGGCAACAGCGCAAGATCCCGTCTTGAAAAAGCAGACAAACAAAAGTCAGGGAAGGGTGACTATTAACAGCCAAGAATATTGCCCATATGGCCAGGCGAAGTGGCTCATGCTTGTAATTCCAGCAATTTGGGAGGCTGAGGTGGGTGGATTGCTTGAGGTCAGGAGTTCGAGACCAGCCTGGCCAACCTGGTGAAACCCCATCTCTTAAAAATAAATTAATTAATTAATTAAAAAAAAAGAATTTTGCCCATATTTCTTTTGTTCCAAGTCACAGACTATGGTAGATAAAAAATACCCCATCAAGGTGTCTCCCAAATTCCCAATGGGGCTTTGCTGCCCAGAGGATGGATGAGAGAGGCAGGGGGCCCTATCTGCTCTGTAAATGCTTTCCCCTCCTCAATGACAGACACTGTAACTCCCCAAATACAAGAGAAATCACTGAGCTCCACATTCTGGGTGTGCTGGAGCCTCACTCCCTCCTCCCACTGGACAGTCACTGACCTGAGTGTGTGCGGAGGTGGCCAGTGAGTGCATCACGCCGGCGGCAGGCATAGTTGCAGAAGGGACATTTAAAGGGCTTCTCCCCAGAGTGAAGCTTGATGTGGCGCAGCAGGTTCCCCTTCTGGGTGAAGGAGGCACCACACTGGTTGCAGTGGAAGGGCCTTTCACCTGCAAGTGAAAGAACAATCCCAGAGGATTGTATGTGAGGAACTTTGAAGGTTGAACCTATCCCCCTACCCTCTACCCTACCTTGCCCAAAGAGAGGTGCTCTGAACACATTGCTGATGGGCAGAAGTGCCATGCACACAAACCCTGCTTTATTAAGATCCCTTGGGAATAGTCTTACCTTGGGGAAGGTGTGGATTAGAGGTGTGTGGCAGGGAGAGGGGCCTGGAACACGAGGCCAAAAGACTGTTACCAAAAACTTAGCCCCACAGGCTACACTCTGCCCTAGGAGCCCATAGCCTGAGGAAGCTGAGAAGAGGAAGCTTCTGTTTTCTGGGTTTTTTAATTTAATTTTTTAATTTTTTTGAGATGGAGTCTTGCTCTGTTGCCCAGGCTGGAGTGCAGTGGCGCAGTCTTGGCTTACCGCAACCTCTGCCTCCCAGGTTCAAGCGATTCTCCTGCCTCAGCCATCTGAGTAGCTGGCTTTACAGGTGCACGCCACCATGCCCACTAATTTTTATATTTTTAGTAAAGACAGTGTTTCATCATGTTGGTCAGGTTGGTCTTGAACTCCTGACCTCGTGATCTGCCAGCCTCAGCCTCCGAAAGTGCTGGGATTGCAGGCGTGAGCCACCGTGCCTGGCCAATTTTTTTTTTAAATTATGAGATGGGAGGGCCCAAAGAATACCCAGGAGTCTTACCCCTATCGGACCACTGGCTCATTCTTGAGGCTACCACACCTTCCCCTACCTCATATATTGAGAAACATATCAGCTTTTTTTTTTTTTATAACAGCAGTGAGAAAAGTGCCAGGAGACTACAAGTATTAAGGGGAATTCAAATTCCACACCCCCCACCAGCCCGCCTCATTTTGTCAGCTAAAAAATGTGCTAGGAGAGACCCTTCCCTTTCTGAGGCCACCCACCCCCTGCAGGGCCTCCTCCAGCCCCATCCCTGCTATTGTCCCAGCACTGCCCATGCCTTTCAGTCCCACCCTGGGAGCTCCTCCCAGAGCCCCTCTGGCTTACTCACCAGTGTGGCTGCGCTTGTGCACCATGAGTACATTGGGTCCAATGCAGACCATGCCGCAGACGTCACACTTGAGCTTGCCATTAGGCAGCCGGATGCCCCCAGGAGAATGAGGCTCTGGCCCACTCCCATCACAGTAGCCCAAGGGCTCAGACAATGAGTCTTCCACAATCACACTGTCGTCCTTTTCCAGGAGCCGCTCATCTGGCCCCAGCAGTCTGCTCGACTCCTCATCGCTGTACATCTCCACCTTGATGGAGTTGGCTGAGGGGTGGGATGGTGTTTAGGAGAGAGAGAGGCAAAGGGGGAAGCTGCTCCCAGGCCAGAATGGCACTCTTTTTTTTTTTTTTAAAAGACGGGGTTTCACCATGTTGGTCAGGCTGGTCTTGAATTCCCGACCTCGGGTGATCTGCCTGCCTTGGCCTCCAAAGTGCTTGGATTACAGGCGTGAGCCACCAGGCCCGGCCGGCCTTTTTTTTTTTTTTTTGAGACGGAGTTTCGCTCTTTTTGCCCAGGCTAGAGTGCAGTGGTGCAATCTTGGCTCATTGCAACCTCCACCTCCTGGGTTCAATAGATTTTCCTACCTCAGCATCCCGAGTAGCTGGGATTACAGGCACGCACCACCACGTCTGGCTAATTTTTGTAGTTTTAGTAGAGATAGGGTTTCTCCATGTTGGTCAGGCTGGTCTCCAACTCCTGACCTCAGGTGACCCATCCGCCTCAGCCTCTCAAAGTGCTGGGATTACAGGCATGACCCACCACGCCCAACCCAGAATGGCACTGGCACTCTTAAAATTTAAGAGAGTGTCTTTAGACCTTCAGACATTCAAGCCTTAAACAGGGCCGATACTCTAATATCCCTGCTGGTGACATCAGAGTCCTTCTGGAACCTGAGACAAATTTTTCTCCCACTCACCAGGCAAATAGGTGTCAAGAGAAAAAAGTTGGGCTGGGTGCAGTGGTTCACACCTATAATTCCAGCACTTTGGGGGGCCGAGGCGGGTGGATTTATTGAGGTCAGGAGTTTGAGACCAGCCTGGCCAACATGGTGAAACGCCATCTTTACTAAAAATACAAAAATTAGTTAGGCATGGTGGTGCATGCCTATAATCCCAGCTACTTCGGAGGCTGAGGCAGGAGAATCGCTTGAACCTGGGAAGCAGAGGTTGCAGTGAGCTGAGATTGTGCCACTGCACTCTAGCCTGCGCAACAGAGCAAGACTCCATCTCAAGAAAAAAAAAAGAAAAGAAAGTTGAGGGTACATAGGATGTCCTCTGTCACTGAGGAGAGGAGAGGACTAAGAGGAGCTTTTTTCTCCACTCTCTTGTCATTAAGAAAGATGTCTGGCTTTGGCCTTGGGCAGGAAGCCAGCAAGTTAACAGTGGCGGGAAAACAGACCTAGGAGGACTGAAGAGGGGCAACAGGCCAAAGAGAGCCAAACTGGAAGACAGACATACTTACAGTTCCCTCCCACCCCATTAGGCTGAACTCCTCTACCCCCTCCACCTCCATAAAACGCTGAGGCAGGGCAGGAGGGATAAAGGAAAGAGGAAACAGTGAGGAGAAGGCTTTGGCTCTAGCTCCGACCTACATTCCTGGCTATTCCAATCATTTAGAGAATGTCACAGATCTAGGGCCAGCTGGGGAGGGGCAGTCATGGGGACCCTGTCTGGGTAGGTGAATGGGGTGTGAGGAGATGGGAAGGTCCTTCTACCCTCTATTTCCTATTTAACTCCACTTGATGACTATTTCTATCTACCTGCTTCTCTAATTCTGGAATTTCTCTTTGAAACATTTATCTCAATCCCACCCATATCTCTTTTAATTCTACCCTAGTCTGCTGGTGACTATTCACTCTCCTTTCAGAAGCGAGAAAAACCCTAGACACTGGGCTCCTTATTGCTCTTAGAGACTGAGCAGGAGACTAGCTGGAGGAGACGATGGGGAAATGGTTGCCAGTAGAAGATAAATTGAAGGCCAAATGCAAATGGGGGTGCCTACTGCCAGGAGGTGGTAGGAGGTTATACTTACCACTGAGTGAGCGGCTGGGAGAAGAGTGCTGGCTGTTGGGGGTGCTCACCGAGGGCCCCACTGGGGCCCCAAGGAACTCCTTCTCCAGAGATGAGTCCCCGCTACCTTGGAGGAGAGAACAAGAGGGCAGGTAAAGCTGAAGCTAGAGTTATCTACTATCCATTGCCTAATCTTTAAAAAAAAATTCAGTTAAATTTCACAAACATTTCCTTCATAGCCATGTACAAGGCAGTATTGTATGCTGGGCACCACACCTTGCGCCCCCGCCAGTCTGGATGCCTGGTGCTGCCTTCCGTGAGCTCAGTGGCTGGGCCTTGCCTACCCTACCTTTATCTAGGCCTGAGGGGAAGAGCATCACTGCCTGACGTCCACAGGAAGCAGGGCTGGGGCTGGGTGCACCAGGGCGGAGAGGAAAATGGGGGCCGCACAAGGGACAGATGTTCAGGACAGACATTCTTCCCTACTGTTCCTCTCCGGGACCCCAACCAGGTTCAGGATCTGCAGGAAAGGTAACTGGAATTGTCCCTGAATCTAATGATAATATTAGTAATAATAATAGCAGTTAATATTGAGTACTGGTTTTATTCTATGCACTTGAAATAATCTCATTTAATCTTCACAACTATATGAAGTAGGTGCTAATATTATCTTCATTTTTTCAGATGAGGCAACTGAGGTACAGAAAAGGTTATGGGTTATGTTCCTTGTCTAAGGTTACATAGCTGCTAGTGTGGAACTGAGATCACAGACAATAAGCGTCCATGTCCTACGGACCCATTTGGGGGTCACCATCTTAGTAGGGAAGAATTGGGCCCCTTAGACTTTCTAAATTCAGCAAAAATTTGGCTGCTCTAGAAAGCCTCCTACTGATCTGATTCCAATCACATGTTTACTATTTTATATTCCTTGACAGTTAAGTGATCAATTTATTCTCAGTATATTTGTTTTAATTTTTTGATAAATTGTTTTGTAAAAATGTTTTTCGAGGGTTTCACGACATTTTTCAAAATCAGATAACACACCTAAAGAAAGATATTAATGTCTTTTAAAAAAAAAATCCCTCCTCCCCACAATCTTCTGCACAAATACATAGGTGAAATAAAAATACAGGTAGATAAACACACACAGACACAGCACATATGTAGATACATATAAAGAGAACATACCTACTGGGATAAACATACTGGTAGCCTTCTACATTATCTGCTAACGTGAACATGCATGGATGTGTGCACACAAGCCTAAATATGGAAGAGAGAGAGAGAGAGCAAGAGAGACAGCAAGAGAGCAGGAGAGAGAGAAAGCCTAAAATTCATCCCTAAAGTCCACCTATTAGTACTTTACCCAATTGCCCAGCTATGCACATACTTACTTTCACAAAATAAAGATTCCATTATAAAATGGTTGGAGTCTTGGGCCTGAGGCAAGAAATCCGGAACACACCCTCCTGAGGGATCCCTCTCCAGCTTTGGTCAGTGGGAAGAAAACAACCACTCAGGACTTTGGGACCATTTCCCATTCATATCCTCTCCTAAAGTCCCATTTCCCCCATTCTATCCCATCAAAGCCTGGGGAAATTTGTTCACTATCTATAGAAAAAGCCTTATGGCTTGAATCTGAGTTTTCCCAGCTGGGGCTCTTTAGGTGAACCACAGTTACCTAAAAATGCTGACCAAAATCAGAACCACACACATATCATGAAGCGAGCATTTCAGGATTGTGGGTTAAGACTTGTAGACTCAGAGCCAGTTTTAAATATGTCCTTTCAACTAAGTGTAGAATTTACTAGGGTTAGAAGGGCTGAAAAGGGTATCTTCTTATTCCCTTTCAAATGTTAGTGCTGACTTGCCCTAAATCACTTGATGTTACTAATCAGGGAAAAAAGGGCACTGGGCTTTGAGGCCTTGACCCTAAAAGGATGAGTGAGCTTGTTGGAAATCCATCGCTGGTCCCGGCTTATTTGGCTGAGGCTACCTCTTGAGGCCAGGAATTTGCTATATGGAGGAAAACATATTTAAAAGTACACTTAGAAACACTGAGGGGAAAGCATCCTTTGTGGCTTTCCCAATGAAGGCCCAGAAACAGCAAGAGGAGCAGGAGTCACACCAGTAATTCAAGAGGCTCTTTGATGCTATTGCCCTCTCTAAGATTAAGGTAGGAGGAAAAACAGGCTCCAGTCTACTTTCATGGGGCTAATACATAATAATGAATCTGTTTCAGGAGTCAGAAAGTCTTTCTTGGGCACCAAGGATTTTCAATTCTAGCTCGAGTGACGGGTACTAGAGTAAGATTTAGGAAGTTTAGCAGTTCCTCTCTCAGCTCCAGAAACCCCAGAGAGGGAATTTCAAAGTCTGGGACTCCCAAGAAATCCCAGACTGTCAAAGCCAAGAATTAAGGCTGCTCTTAGGTCTCTGAGAAATTTTCTTGCTCAAAGTCACCATAGATTGGCTGAACCCTGAGAGGGCAAAGCCAAATCATGAGGTTCACATCAGAGGAACTGGGAGGTAGGTAAAGGCTGAAAAGCAGGAGGAGAGAAAGGAACTGGGAAACAGGCCACAAGCTAAAGGTGTTTCACATGTTAAAGGAGACTAGCCCTCCGCTCCTGCTGCCTTTCCTCGAGACCTTCAAATAGTGGCTACCTCTAGGGAATAGCCATGAGCTTGGAGAACCTCCACACTGCCTTGCAAGGGACCTCATCATAACTGCTTTCCCTTTCTTGACCATGGGCTCCAGGGTGGCAGGATCCTAGCCTGCCAGCAGATTATAGTGGGTACAAGAGCAAAGAAAGACGCCCATCCTCAGCTCTTTTGTGGGGAGGAGGCTGAGGCCCCTCAGATCTCTGTTCCAGGCTGAGGCATCTGCTTGACAAGGATCCTCTTCCTTACCTTGATTTTCTCCACTACCCCTTCCCACCCAGGCCTGTCTCGGCATTTAACCCCAGGCAGCTCTACCTCTATCCCCAAGGCCTAATAAAGATGTCACCACAGGCTCCCACTGTCCAAGTCGCCGTCTTTGCTTAGCAACACCAAACACCCTTTCCCATCCTCCGCAAGTATAAGGAGGAACGCCCCCTCCCCCGCTACACACATACACACACACACACACACACACACACACACACACACACACACAGCCCCCATCCCCTCCATCTCCTCAGGCTTGGGAGTTGTTACTGAATTGGCTCCCTAGCCCCAGCACCCTCCTTCCTCCCTCCACTAGCCGCCTTCTGCCTGAACTTACATTATCCTTCCCTTGCCGGTGAGACCCTGGGGTGCGAACGCGGCCGCCGCCTTGGAAACGGCGAGGGAGTGCGGGTGGTGTATGCATGTCTGCGTCTCAGTGGCAGGCAGGGGTGAGCCCAGCCACTCACCTTCCAGGAAGCGTGGATTCCTGGAAGTGAGGGGACCCGCCGTCATTTCGCAGGCAGCAGCAGCAGCAGCAGCAGCACGGTGAGCAGAGGCCCACGGCTGCAGCCAGCAAGAGCAGCTCAGCCCAGGGTGTATGTGTGTTGAGTGTGTGTGTGTGTGTATGTGTGAGAGAGAGAGAGAGAAAGAGAGAGGGAGAGAGGCACAGAGAGAGGGAGAGGGAGAGGGGAGAGCACGCTTGGATGTGCTTGGGGAGGGGGCTGGAGAGAATGTATATGTGTGTATGGTGGGGGAGATGCTAGGCTACAGCATCCCTTTTCCAAGACATTGAAGGGGATAGGGGGTGGGTGTGTGCACAGGGAGGGAAAGGCAGATGTCGTTGCCCTCGTGCCCAGCAGACAAAGAGGAACTGCACAACAAATGCCTGAGAGAGGCAAGACTGTGTGCAAGAGAGAGGGAGAGAGAGAGAGAGAGAGAGAGAGAGAGAGATGGATGGGCCTGCGGGTGGGAGGGAGAAAAGGGGGGCCCCAGGGAAGGCCCAATCCTGTGCCAGCTGGGGAAGCCAAGGCCCCAGAGGTCATGGGGCCCAGGACACGGACAGCTTCAAGGCTCTCAGATTGGGCAGAAAGCCCCTCCCCCACCAAACTCTTTCCCTCCTCCTCCAGGAGGAAGGTTGCTCTCTAGATCTGGGGACTGACAGCCCCCTCCTTTCCAGCAGCGAGAGGGCCCAGCACAGTCTGGTGTCAGGCTAGCGTTGCTCTAGGGCCCTGAGACCTTTCAGATCTGCGGCAAAAAGGCTCCCCACCTCCCCTCCCTCCTGTGCCCCTGGGGCCCCAGCAGCCGAAAGCCCTGGATGAATCCACCCTCTATCAGGACAAGGCCTCTGCTCCCTTCCCTTTCAGAGGAGCTGCTCACTGACAAACTGACCTACTTTGGAAGACTACATTTTCTGATTCCAAGAATTTGGGGGTGGGCGGGGCTCTGAAACTTTGGGCTGCCTACCCCTGAATCCCTTTCTACTAAAGTTCTCTTAAGCATTTCATAGTCTCAGAAAACTCACTGCTCAGTCGATTAATGGCATCAGCTGGGTTTGGGCAACTCTGTTTTGCTTGAAAGGTAGGGAAATGGAGGGGTGGTTATCTGTGCCATAAAATAGACTCCTGCTTATCTCCCCCTCTTCCCTGTTCCAGAAGGGAATAATCTGTACCTTTAAAAAGAGAAAAAGGGAGAAAAGACGGATTTTCTGAATCAGGTTCTGGAGGAATTCAAATCTCTTGGAAGAGCAAGAGAGATACCCTTTTCATCAAGTGGCCAGATGCAGGAAGGTCACCGGTAGTGGAGCAGAAGAGCTGTGATGGCCTGTGGAGGCCCGCAGTGTGCTTCAGGGGAGCTGCGTGCTGCAGCCTTTCCCTCTGCTTCCATATGACTCTTCCAGGAGAGAGGGGTCAGTGATGAGGGCAGCTATGCCCAGTCCTAAGAGGGGTACTTTTCAGAGCTAATGGTAGCCCTACCTTGACTTTCCCCTTTCCCTTTCTAAGGTAGCTGCTGACATCTAGAATTCTCAGAGTACAGATGAGGAGTTCCTGGCCTCCACTTCCGTTCAAAAACCATCCTGTGCAGAGGCCACTTATTATCTAGGAAATGCCAATCTGCCAAAAGCAGGGAAAGCTTGGTTTCATAGCACAGTGAAGCAAATCACCTTAGAAGTTTTCCACGAGCATCCAATATTCTCCATGAACAGGTCTGAAAAGAGCTCCACGGGATTTGTAGTTTCTTATTTGCCTGCTTTATGGCAGGGACTGGATTTTATCCGAGTGTTCCCCAGCACTAAACAGGGTCCCGAGTGTACTTGTTGCACAGTAGTGGTTTTCTGAATAGGCTTAACTAAGGAGGAGGTAGTAGGACTGGCTTGCTCCTCACAAGGGCCGTGACTTTTGTTCAAATAAAGTCTCTTCTAATTAAATGAGTCTACCTGATCCCTGTCATTCTGTCAAGCATGTAGCAGGTATTGAATGCCTTTACCCATTCCAACTCCTTCCCTCCTTAAACAAGAAAGGGGTCAGAGTCAACATCTTACCTTACATTACCCGGGTGTTGCCAATGACTCTCATATGTGTTTCTGACCCATCTTGCTATCTCCTTTAGTGCATGCCAATAATTCCTTCATTGGTCCTACTTTAGAGTAAAAAATAAGCTATAGGTCATTTCCACAATGGTGCTTGGGTTTCTGATAGGGATACTCATCACGTCAAAACCCAATTTTGGTTTCTTTTTTTTGAGACAGAGTCTCGCTCTATCACCCAGGCTGCAGTGCAGTGGTGCAATTTCGGCTCGCTGAAACCTTTACCACCCGGGTTTCAAGTGATTCTCCTGCCTCAGCCTCCCGAGTAGCTGGGACTACAGACGTGTGCCACCACGCCCAGCTAATTTTTTGTATTTTAGTAGAGACAGGGTTTTACCGTGTTAGCCAGATGGTCTTGATCTCCTGACCTCATGATCTGCCCGCCTTGGCCTCCCAAAGTGCTGGGATTACAGGTGTGAGCCACCGTGGCCCAGCCTTTTTTTTTTTTTTTTTTAAGACAGAGTCTGGCTCTGTCGCCCAGGCTGGAGTGCAGTGGCGTGATGTCGGCTTAGCATCCTAAGTAGCTGGGATTACAGGCACACCCCACTATGCCCAGCTAATTTTTATATTTTTAGTAGAGACAGGGTTTCACCATGTCGCCCATGCTGGTCTTGAACTCCTGACCTCAGGTGATCTGCCTGTCTCCTAAAGTGCTGGGATTATAGGTGTGAGCCACTGTGCCCAGGCTTGAGTACATTATTTTAAAATGGAGACATTTCATATAAAAATTTGGATTTCTGTCCGGGTGTGGTGGCTCATACCTGTAATCCCAGCACTTTGGGAGGCTGAGTCAGGTGGATCATGAGGTCAGGAATTCGAGATCAGACTGGCCAAGATGGTGAAATGCTGTCTCTACTAAAAATATAAAAATTAGCCGGGCATGGTAATGGGTACCTGTAATCCCAGCTACTCAGGAGGCTGAGGCAGGAGAATCGCTAGAACCTGGTAGGTGGAGGTTGCAGTGAGCCAAGATCATGCCACTGCACTCTAGCTTGGGCAACAAGAGAACATCCCAAAAAAAAAAAAAAAAAAAAATTTGTACAAGTGCGTCATGAATATCTTCTCCCCCGCAAAAAAAATTGAATTTCTGATTTCCCTTAAAAATTTAGAAATTTTGGCCACACTAGATACACATTTCTGTATGACAAGGACTAGTGAAACTGAAAGCTGCTGTCCCTTTAAGTGGGACATGTGTTCGTTCTCCACTTCATGACAGCCCCCACCATTCTGCTTATTATCCTAATCTTACTTCACTCATTCACATGCCCACCTGGCCCTTGCAGGTCTTTGAGGTCTAAAACCTTGTGCCACTCTATCTGGATAGAACAGAATTTCATGTTTGGCTGGTGACTTCAGAGCATAGGAGAAGGAACCATATTTTCTTTCCATATATTTGCTTCAAATCATTCTTCTAATGATGTCCACTCACATTCTCCTCCTATTCCCTTCCTCTATCCCTCAAGAAGTCTGGAAAAGAGAATTACTATTTAGGGAATGTAAAATCACCAAAATAATTGCACACTAACAAGTGTCACCAAGCATGAGTGTTAGCTGTGTGACTAGGACATTTAGAGGCCATGTGCCTAGGCTGAAGGCTCTCTGCTCTACCGGAGAGTGTCTGCTTCCGGCCCCTAACAAACAGAACACACAGAAGGCATACCAGACATATAGGAGCGGCCATTGCAGTCTTCTATGTCCATTTTAAAGAGATTCTGCTGAAAGAAAAAATAGCTGCTATTAGAAGATAGATCTGGGAAGGGAGGAGGCTTTTCTTTAACTTCTTGAGTTATCAAGAAACCAAAAGGAGTACTTAAGCACGGTCTGATACTATCTTAAAGAAAAAAACCTTAGCCAGGCACTGTGGCTCAACGCCTGTAATCCTAGTGCTTTGGGAAGAAGGTGGGAGGATCACTTGAGCCCAGGAGTTTGAGACCAGTCTAGGCAATATAGGGAGATCCCATCTCTACAAAATATAAAAATAAATTAGCCAGGCATGGTAGCATGTGCCTGTAGTCCCAGCTATTCAGGAGGCTAAGGTGGGAGGATCACTTGAGCCGAGGTCGAGGCTACAGTGAGCTGTGATCTCACCACTGCACTCTTTAAAAAAAAAAAAAAAAAAAAAAAAAAAAAAAAAAAATTGTCCTGGTGAAAGACAATATACCCTGATTTATAAACCCCAATATTTCCTCCAATTTACAACTTCTGCTGGGCTCCCCAGCCTCTGAGGTGGAAACACTACCTTAATCCAGAGTGGTCCTGGATTTTGAGATTAGACCAGGTATGTAGATGGAGTTAAGGTGGTAGGTGACAGGTTATTCCTCAGCCCTGAGGAGGCAAAACAGCCCCTTAGAGGCTCTATACCTCAGTTAAAAGATGGGTTAGTAATAAGAAGAAGCTGGGTTCAGTCATTCAAGGGATTCTGTCTTGGATGTGTGGTGTGAGGGAGGGTGACAGGAAAAGTAGAAGATGGAGGAGAGCAGCCCACTCAGGGTTCAGTGATAAGTCCTCTATTGAAAATGTAATAAACAAATTAAACCTGTAAGTGGTTATCCCCACCCTCTCATCAATTACTCTGCAATGCTTATTTTAAAAAAGGAAGTGGGGAGAGTCTGAATTTAAAATGAAGGTTAGTCTATTTGAGGGAAGGCAAACAGTAACTGGCAGTAGAGTATTAAACAATCAGGAACTGAGAACACTTAAAAGTGATAATTTGTTGCAATGAATTATCTCTTTAGGAGCCTGTGAGAGGAGAGAAAAAAAAAATCGGATCTGGTAGAAATGTACATACACGTAAAATTGGGGGCCAGCATGGTGGCTAATGCCTGCAATCTCAGCACTTTGGGAGGCTGAGGAGGGTGGATCATTTGAAATCAGGAGTTTAAGACCAGGCTGCCCAGCATGGTGAAATCCCATCTCCACTAAAAATACAAAAATTAGCTGGGCAGTAGTGCCGCGTGCCTGTAATCCCAGGTACTTGGGAGGCTGAGGCAGGAGAATCGCTTGAGCCTGGGAGGTGGAGGTTGCGGTGGGCCGAGATCCTGCCACTGCACTCCAGTTTGGGCAGAGTGAGACCTGCCCCCCCACCTAAAAATAATTGCTTTCCCCACTCATCTGATGAAAACTAAATGCCCTGAGGTAGAAGCAAGAATCGGACAAGGGAACTGTCTGAGCTGCCGTGGGGATTCTTGGTGTTTTTGAAGGATCTCACTGAGGTAGATGGATAAAAATTTGGTTTGCTTGTAATGTTATATTGAGAGAGGTGGAGGTGGGGGTGAGGGGGTGCAGGAAGGCACATAGAGGAAGTATCTGTTTTCCTGCCCCCTCCCCCAATTGTTGTCTGGAGTTGAGAGACTCCTTAAAAAGGCTCATGAGAAAACCTGACACATGGGCTTACCTTCACTTGACAAAACAATTCTCTCTTACATTTTGTCACAGATTTCTAGTATCAACCCTATTTCCCTAGGAAGCCAGGGTGTGGAGAAAAAAATTACCTAAGTTTATTAACTCCTCTTTTCTTGACATCCTTCCTGGGATGGACTGAACTTTGGGACTGCACCACTAGAACAAGCCACAATGAAAAGTGGTTCCTTGAAGGGTCCCTTAGGAACAATGATTAGAAGAGCCCAAGTCCATAGTAGGGAACTCACACTCTCTGGAACTAGCCACAAAACTTGAGATAGAGATCAAAAGATAAAGGAGGGCAGTCTGGTATTCAGGGGCCCTTTCATTTCCAAATCATTAGATTCATAATTGCCCTTTAGGGTTTTTCTTTTTTTTAAATTGCATCTCTGTAGAGACTGTCAAAAATTGCCAATGCCAACTATATTGCAAGTTGCCATGGTGGGGTATTGGGAAAAGTTTTCAATTAGCAATAATCGAGCCTCGGATAAATCTCATTGGCTACGATACTGCCACTGTGCAAAGCTGGGGTTTTTCAAAATGAATGCAAAGCTCAGGATAGGCAAGGTGGCTCATGCCTGTAATCCCAGCTCTTTGGGAGGCCGAGGCAGGCAGATCATGAAGTCAGGATTTTGAGACCATCCTGGCCAACATGGTGAAATCCCATCTCTACTAAAAAAACAAAAAAATTAGCTGGGCATGGTGGTGCACACCTATAATCCCAGCTACTTGGGAGGCTGAGGCAGAAGAATCACTTGAACCCGGGAGGTAGAGGTTACAGTGAGCAGAGATCATGCCACTGCACCCCAGCCTGGGCAACAAAGGGAGACTCAATCTCAAAAAAAGCAAAAAAGAATGCAAAGTTCAAAGTGTCACTTGAAACCTTCCTCACACACCTCCCCATGCAGGAGAGGCAAGAGTGAGAAGGATTTTCTCGTCTTCTGTTTAGAGAAACTGAGGCTCAGAGCAGTTACTTGTCCCAGGGTTCATGGTGAGAACAAGAACAAGAACAAGAACACAAGTTGCCTGCCTCTCTGAGGTGTCCTCTTTCCATTATTCCATTAAACCTTTCAAAACCCAGGCTACTGAAGGCCTTCATAGATCTTCTTGCTTTTCCTTTTTTTTTTTTGAGATGGAGCCTCGATCTATTGCCCAGGCTGCAGTGCAGTGACACGATTTTGACTCCTGGGTTCAAGCCATTCTCCTGCGTCAGCCTCCCAAGTAGCTGGGGCTACAGGCATGTAACACCACGCCTGGCTAATTCTTTTCCCTGGTGCTAATATCAGGTAAGGCATTTTTTCCTTTGTTATGATCCCTGTGGGAGTGGGGTCTGTTACTTAAAAGGGAAGAACAAGTTGAGCTGGCTCTGAGGAAGCAATATGCTCATATTATTGTGTGTGTGTGTGTGTGTGTGTGCGCGCGCGCGCCCGCGCGCGTGTACAGCATGCCTAATGCCTGTGCGTATGCAGGGCTAGACAAGCATTAGGTGGGCAGAACAGGTGAAGCATAGCGTTCAGCTAGCACTGGCTCAGGAAGTGTATCTCATTCTTGGACTTCTGCCCAAATGGCCCCAAAACAATTTCCAGAAGAGTCAGAAGGAGTTGTTTTCTGAGTTGGACTTTCTAACAGCAAACTGAGCTCTCCTGCTTAATTGCTCTTAACAGGTGCTCTTTGACACATCCTGGGCAAAATCATAGCTGCCTCCAGCTGGGTGTTTGTTTGTTTCTTTTTTCTTTTTTTTTCTTTTTTTTTTTGAGGCTGAGTCTCGCTCTGTGGCTCAGGCTGCAGTGCAGTGGTACAATCTTGGCTCACTGCAAACTCCGCCTCCCGGGTTCAAATGATTCTCGTGCCTCAGCCTCCTGAGTAGCTGGGATTATGGGCGTGCACCACCATGCCTGGGTAATTTTTGTACTTTTAGTAGAGACAGAGTTTTGCCATGTTGGCCAAGCTGGTCTTAAACTCCTGACCTCAGGTGATCTGCCTGCCTTGGCCTCCTGAAGTACTGGGATTACAGGCATGAGCCACAGCCCAACTCTCTAGCTGGTTTTAATGCCAAGCTGGTAATCCTGGAAGTGAGAGGGGACTGGATTGAAACTGCTGTTCTCAGTCCTGGTTTTCTGCGAACCAGGAGCAAATCAGTAGATGTACTTTTTCCTCTTTGCTCAAGTTGCCCTGCAGCACATCCTGCCCAGCCTTCCCACTCTCCACTCTCAAAGCACCTCCTCCCCTGCCTAACCAGGCAGGCAGATCTTGAGTGTCTCCTTAGAGGAACTAGGTCAAATTAGGCAGTGCCAATTGGAGACACATTGCAGGAGGAGGATGTATAACGAGAGGGAAGTTAGTTACATCAGACAGTTTTGGATCAAAGATCTTGGAAGGAAATTGGCTTTAAAGCAACATAACTGTCGGCTGGGGGCAGTGGCTCACACCTGTAATCTCAGCACTTTGGGAGGCTGAGGTGGGCAGATCATTTGAGGTCAAGAGTTTGAGACCAGCTTGGCCAATATGGTAAAACCCCATCTCTACTAAAAATATGAAAATTAGCAGGGTGTGGTGGTACGTTCCTGTAGACCCAGCTGCTTGGGAGGCTGAGCCATGAGAATCATTTGAACTCTGGAGGCAGAGGTTGCAGTGAGCCGAGATTGCGCCATTGTACTCCAGCCTGGGTGACAGAGTGAGACTCTGTCACAAAATAAAGCAACATAACCATCACTCAGTGATGGGGGGCTAGGCACATATGTACTGTAAATTCAGCTCTGAGCTGAACCAAAGCAACTAGAAACAGTCTTCCAATTCAAAAGGAATATCTCTGAAGAGGGAGGAAAGTTTGGTCATTGTAACCTCTGGAGACAGATTTTCTTCCTTGTTCTTATTTATTTATTATATACTAGAGATGGGATCTCACTATGTCGTCTGGGCTGGAGTGCAGTGGCTGTTCACAGGCACAGTCATAGTACACTATACCCTCAAACTCCTGGCCTCAAGCAATGCTCCTTCCTCAGCCTCATGAGTAGTTGGGACTACTGGTGCATATGCTACTGTGCCCAGCTGTTCTCTATTTGTCTGAATCTACTTGGCATAAACAAGAGTCCTCCATGGCCCTGGCTTTCTCCCAACAACATTTGAACAGGAATGGGCATCCTTTCTAGACAGATTTCCCACCAGACTCCCAGACAGGCAGCAGTGTGGACCAATCCAGTGTCTGATTTCCAAGAGGAGGTCAGGCATCAGCTACCATCTGCCTTTCCCCAGAAACATTCTCATGGCCCTAAGTATTGGTGACAAACATGTCAGAAAGTCAAGTTTTCTCTATGTGGTGGCTCTGAACGCCTGAAATAAAATGGACATCACAATTAATGAAAACTCATCAAATACCAAGAATCCTGTTTAATCCAGAGACACTTCAAAATTGGAGTTTAGGCTTGGCATGGTGGCGCATGCCTGTAATCCCAGGACTTTGGGAAGCCAAGGCAGGAGGACTGCTTGAGGCCAGGAGTTCAAGGCCAACCTGGGTAACATAGAGAGACCCTAAAAAAAAAAGTCAATTAACACATGCTTATTGTGGCCTAGGGGTAAAAGGTCATAAGAAGAATGGAAAGAGGGTGAAGGTGGAGAGAGTGGCAAGGATTCCTACCATGTTTTTAGTTATTATTTCTAAACTATAACAGGGAGAAGTAGAAAAATTTTCTCCACTTTTTCTTAGGACCTGGGTTCTGAGGTGGAGACCAGTGATTCTTTTTTATTTTTTTGAGACGGAGTTTCGCTCTTGTTACCCAGGCTGGAGTGCAATGGCGCGATCTTGGCTCACCGCAACCTCCGCCTCCTGGGTTCAGGCAATTCTCCTGCCTCAGCCTCCTGAGTAGCTGGGATTACAGGCACACGCCACCATGCCCAGCTGAATTTTTGTATTTTTAGTAGAGACGGGGTTTCACCATGCTGACCAGGATGGTCTCAATCTCTTGACCTCGTGATCCACCCGCCTCGGCCTCCCAAAGTGCTGGGATTACAGGCGTGAGCCACCGCGCCCGGCCTAGTGATTCTTAATAAGACAGAACTTCCCACGTGCCTTGGGTGTGAGCCATCCAGGTACTACAAGTAGAGCAAACCCATAGCATCATCCTTTACTGTCTGTGCCTTCCTGAACTGAATGAAATCTGAGCAAAAACATGCTGGAGTCGAATAGCTGGCTCTGCTCTCTATCAAAGCTTTGCATAATTGAGGAGGGGGAAAAGGCAAAGGGGTCAGAGAAAGGTATGGAATTGAGCATTGTCTGCAAGCCCCTTTCCAGGAAAATGACCTAGTCATTGAGCAATTTGCAACTCTGAAATAATCTTTAGGGTCAACCTAGTGCTCTCTGAAGGAAACCCACCAACCTTAGCTTAGCTCATATGTCTGTCTTTACAGTGAAAAGGTCTGACTTATTTTTCACCAGGCTGTAGATGGTAACCTTCTGTCTACATATAATACAGTTGAAGATTGCTCAGCTTCATTATCCAAGTGCTTGGGGAGCAGTGCAGAGGGGATAAATTCCCAGGTCATCCTAGGAATGGCCAGTCTCTAAAATAAAAAGGGTATGAACTGAAAACACAACACCTGGGCAGTGGGAAAATATCACCTCATTTTCTCCTTTTAGATCTCAGATGGATGCATCTTTTCTCTTGTTCTTTGTGCTTCTCTGTCCTCCCCATGTAGACTGCAGAAGAGAGAGAAGACTAAGGTTTACGAGTGGGAGAACAAACAATCCTATCCCTCCTGTGTCTCATTTCAGGACATAAGGAACTAAGGAAAGGGGCCAAACACTTTATATCACTAGATATGATACAATGGAGATGATACTTTTTGGGGGTTTTGGGTATTCCCCCAAGTATTGGCCTCAGTTTATAGAAAGGCCCCATGAAGTCACTGCTGTATGTTCAGGGAAGGGTGGAGAAAGTAGAGCAGGGAAATTCAATTTGAGTTTTATAATGATCAGTTTTAAAGCCAAAGATGCCCAAAACAGGGTTAGCTCTCTCAAGTGAAGTTTGAAATTACAGGGAAGTCTCAGCTATTCTGACTAGGGTACAGTAGCAAAAAAATGTAAAAGAGACAGGGACAGGCCAGGCGTGGTGGCTCATGCCTGTAATCCAAGTACTTTGGAGGCCAAGGTGGGCGGATCACCTGAGGTCGGGAGTTCAAGACCAGCCTGACCAACATGGTGAAACCCCGTCTTAAAAAAAAAAAAAAAAAAAGACAGGAACAATTGCCTTTAATTGCAATTGTGGCCCAAAGTCCCTAATACATGCTGATCAAAAAAAGCTCACTGTTGCTTGGGCCAGAAAGATGTTTTCAGCCTCCTGTGCTAACAGTCTTGCTCTCATAATCCAATTTGGTAAGCCTCTCTTCTTCATGTGGAGGGTCTGGGGCAGAGGTACTCCAGGACCTGTGGAATCCTGGAGCTGAAATGGAGTTGAGAGATGATCTACAGTCTCCTGGTTTCTAACAGAAGAAACTAAGCCTAGAGTCACCAATCTGGTTAACTACAGAAGTAGGACATGCAGAGCCCAGGTTACCATTAGAGGCTTCTTTCCACTGGAACACTATATTAAATATTGCCCCAGTTGGAAGATTTGGGCCACCGTGCTTGCCTTCTTTCTTGGGTTATTAAATGAATGGTTTTTTGGGTCTGCATCTTGGTGACCTAAATCCTTGAACTGGAAACACAGGCTTACGGATGGGAAGATAAATAATCCTCTTCCTCTTATGTCTCTTTTCAGAGATATTGGACCTGAGGAAAACACCAAACTAGATGGTCATTAAGTCTCTTTAAGGTAGAAACAAGGTCTCTTAGTTTGAGGACTACTGCAGCATATGTATTGCATCAGAGCCTACAATGTGGATCCTACCCCCAGGTGGACCAGGTCATTCATATCAGCACTACCCTTTCTTAGATGCTTTTGTCTCATAAACTTTGAACTTATCTCTCTGTTTCCAGAACAGAGTCCATAACTCTTCTAAGAAGAGGAAGCAAATCAAAGCCTGGAATTCAAAGCTTTCTCCAGCAGAGTCAACAGACCAATAAAGAAAGGGAGTCCCTCTGCCTGTGGCATTGTCCACACTCACAGGGTCCCACTTTTATTTGTTCCTACAGAGTAAAATGAAGCTAGAAATACCTATCTTTCTTTTTCTTTGGCGTGTGTGTGTGTGTGTGTGTGTGTGTGTGTGTGTAGAGAGAGAGAAAGAGAGATGGTCAGCTGCGGAAAAAATAATTCCTTTGTGGATACTGGTGCGTGTGTGTTGTGAGGGGGGCAGGGTGAAAGGTGGGATAAGTTTCTCCCATGCTGGGAAGTTCAAGCTGCAGATTTCAAACTAAGAGGACATAAAGAGACTTTCAGTTGCATTTTCACTGGAAAAAAGTCAGGACTTATTTCTGAGCCAAGTCCTGAAATATGCCTTACCCTTAACCTACTCAGAGGAAGGGGATTGCCCAGAAGCTACAATTCAGCTAACTAACTGCACTCAGTGGGCAACAAAGACATTATATTTTGTGTTTGAGACATCAACTTCCATTGACAAGGGCAAGGTATAATTCTGAAGCTGCCGAAATGAGGGCAGCTCGCACCACCCTGAAGCCCACCCCAGCAGCTCCAGTGAAACTTCTCCTGATTCCCAATGGTAAGGCTATTTTCTTCTTTTAAGATTTTATTTTTATCTCAGGAGCTACTCATCTGACTGTTCTCATGACCCAAGGTGCTGTCTGGACTCTCTGGCTTTAGGCTGTTAGGGAAAGCTGAAGTCCTCCTGCAAACCACAGAGCAAGATTCACTGACCTACTGGCAGGTCCATGAGGAGGTGAGGGATTACCAGCTGGGCATTTCATACACCCCAACCAAATGAAACACTATGTTTTCAAAGATTGTCTGATTTGGCCTTTTATCTGGCCTTGTTCTCAGAATCTGAGTTATCTTAAGTGGAACTATTCTAGGTAGTCAGACAACATTTTCATGCTTCCTTAAGGACATGAACATGTATCGTCACCCAGGCGAAGTGAGCAAGTGTCAGTAAGGGGAGACAGGCTTCAGTGGTCATCTGGTTAACCATAATGATGGAACACCTAAAGTTGACATGTGAGCATGTCGGGAACATACCAAGCCCACCATTGATGCTGGGGAGAGAGGCACAGTAGGAGCTCCTAGACATACAAGTGAGGGTTGATAAGAGTCACAACAGTAGACACTTTTGTTTATGTGAGAAGGGAATGAGGCAAAATAAGGTATGCAAAAATATTTTCCAGCCAGGTGTGATGGCTCACACCTGTAATCCCAGCACTTTGGGAGACAAGGTAGGTGGATCACCTGAGGTCAGGAGTTCAAGACCAGGCTGGCCAACATGGTGGAACCCCATATCTACTAAAATTATAAAATATTAGCTGGGCATGGTGGCCTGTAATCCCAGCTACTCAGGAGGCTGAGGCAGGAGAATCGCTTGAACCGGGGAGGTGGAGGTTGCAGTGAGCCGAGATCCTGCCACTGCACTCCAGCCTGGGTAACAAGAGCAAAACTCCGTCTAAAAAAAAAAAAAATTCCTGGAAGCTCTTGACCTTGGAGGGGGAATGGGGTACGTTCCATTAGACATTCCACTGTTCCCAGACAGGACTAGTCATATATATTTTTTAAAGGCACAGAAATAACATAGAAAATTTAAAAAGTGATAACCTAAAACTCTAGCAGACAAGGGGCAAGAAAATAACGGGATGCGGTTTGTGTGAGGAGGTACTGGGAGGGCTGTTTTGGTACACAGGAAGCAGGCAGCCTGCTTCCCAAGTTTGCAGCTCCCATCTGGATGTCTGCCCTGGGGCTTCTCTGTTGCATTTCTTTCTTAGGGCTCTTAGGAAGTGAATCTCTTCCTTCCCAGACTTGCTTCCTAAGTTCCCTATACCTCTCACCCTATGCTGTGCACTTCTCACTCCATCCTAAGTTTCTTCTCTACAGGTTTCTCCCAATATGCTCATTACCTCCCAGATCTTCTTACTTAGGCCCACATTTTTCTCTCCAGACTCCTGTCTTCAGCATTCCTCGACCCAACACCCGGGTCCCTCCTTTTTTTGTTAGATACCCTCTCTGCTGCTCCTTTCTCCTCTCTGTCCTTCTGCTGTATACCCAAGCCACATCCCCACGGAGGAGCCCCGGGCCTGCCAGCTCCTGCCTGTCCTCAGACCCCCTGTCTTGATCCGTCTCCCGCCTTTTTAGGACCCCCAAGTCCTTGTTACCACTCTCTTAATACTGGGGCCTTGGGCCAAACTCCTCCGGCCATCTTCCATCCCTCGGACCCCTGCCCAACCCGCGCCCCTCGCCCAGCCTGGCCCCTTCCCTCGCCCACGTCTCCCCCTCCTTTAACGGCCGAGCCCCTCAGGCCCCGCCCCCGGCTAGCGAGGCCCCGCCCCCGCTTTGCCCCCCAAGCCCCGCCCCTCACTCACCTGAGGCGTCTCCGCGTGCGCAGGCTGTGAAGGGTGGGGGAGAGGGGACGGTGTTGGGGGAAAGGGAGGCGGGGCGGCAGGGGTCCCCCACTCTGGCCCGGGCGGCCCAGTGCGGGGGGAGTGAGGTCACTGAGGCGGCGGCAATCGCCGGGCCGGAGCCAGGACCCGGGCGCTCAGAGGCGGTGGTGGCGGCGGCGGCTCCATCTCCATCAGCGGCTTCACCTGAGAAGGGACTTGCCCCCCCAAATATTCCCCCCCATTACAGCCGTCCCCATCCCCCTAACAACTTCCGGTCCTACTACCGGGCGACAGGCGGCGTGGCCGAACACCGAGCGTCCCTTAGCCGGGGAGACTGCTGGGGAAAAAGGGAGAGGAGCTAGGGGAGAGTAGCTGAGCGCCGAAAGATTTAAGTCCGAAAGGCACCGTCACCTGCCGAAGGTAGCCCAAAGACTAGCCTTTATTCTGCGCCCAGTTTGCAATCTAAGCACATACTGGACGCCCTATGTGGCCTGGCACATCTGCCCCTAGAGCCACGTTTTCCCGCTGTACCATGTAAACCCCCAAAATCTGAGACAGGTCTCAATTTCGGAAGTTTATTTTGCCAAAGTTAAGGGCATGCTCGTGTAACACAGCCTCAGGAGGTCCTGACACGTGCCCTAGGTGATCCTAGCACAGCTTGGTTTTATACATTTTAGGGAGACAAGAGACATCAATCAATATATGTAAAAGCAGGACAACTCAAAGCTGGGAGGGGACTTCCAGGTCATAGGTAGAGAAGAGGCAAATGGTTGTATTCCTATCAAAGGAGACAATCAGTTACGCATTTATCTCAGTGAGTAGAGGGATAACTTTGAATGGGAGGCAAGTTTGCCCTAACCAGTTCCAGCTTGACTTTTCCCTTTAGCTCAGTGATTCTGGGGCCCCAAGATTTATTTTACTTTCACAACCTCTTAAGACAATGTTGATTGTAAACTCCTAGCATTCTTTACCTTTCCTGCCAAGTGTATTGGAATTGTTGGGAGAGGAGTTGGAGGGTACATGTTTTTGTCACCTTTGTGGTATCCTGAGGTCAATCACCTAGGTGCCACTGCAGATATTGCCAGACCTGAGAAGGAAGCCCTACTTATTTTATTTGAGACAGAGTCTTGCTGTCGCCCAGGCTGGAGTGCAGTGGAGCGATCTTGGTTCACTGCAACCTCCACCTCCTGGGTGTAAGCAATTCTCCTGCCTCAGCCTCCCAAGTAGCCCACCACCACACCCAGCTAATTTTTTTTTTTTTTTTTTGGAGACTGAGTCTCACTCTGTTGCCCTGGCTGGAGTGCAGTGGTGTGATCTCAGCTCACTGCAACCTCTGCCTCCCCGGTTCAAGCGATTCTCGTGCCTCAGCCTCCCAAGTAGCTGAGACTACAGGGGTGAGCCACCACACCTGCCTAATTTTTTTTTCATATTTTTAGTAGAGCCAGGGTTTCACCATGTTGGCCAGGCTGGTCTCAAACTCCTGACCTCAAGTGATTCACCTGCCTTGGCCTCCCAAAGTGCTGGGATTACAGGCATGAGCCACCATGCCTGGCCGGAAGCCTTACTTTTTAACCTACAAGACTGCTTCCTCTCTGTCTTCCTCCCCAATTTTGTTTTGGACTAATCTCATTATACATCCCAGTACAAATGTGTCCTCTCTGCTGCAATAGGCTCACTCCCTAGGCCCAAGAGTAATGATCTTAAAAAGACTCTTAGAAAAGTAGAGCTATAAAAGGAGACAGTTGGACCCCTTGCTTTCCTCACAACCCTCTGGCAACCTGGAGAGGCAGTAGAAAATAGTATATACACTTTTCTTACACATGCCACACACATTTCTCTGAAGAATCCAAAATGAAAAGCAAAACAAGGCCTTGATGGCAGTAGGCATTAGAAATGGCGGTGGGGTAGGAAGACAAAATAGTGCTTGTCTCCAGAATTACTTGTCTTACTTCTAGCCCCTTACTGTAACAGCTCACACTTCCCAGCACAGGTTCAAAGGCCAAGAGGGGTATGTAACATACTGTTCAAAGAGGCAGGGTCCCTGGGTGAAATGTGCTATATGTGTACTTGGGTATGGCTTAGGAAGGCCAGAGTTGTGATCCAAGATGTCGAGAGATGGGAAAGATTTTTCTGAAGCAGTGAGGCCAGTAGGTGGGGAAAGGGGTTGAGGTGGCTCCTTTCTATGCTCATGGGGCGACATGGACGTGGACACGATGCCAGGCATTGCTAAGCACACCTCGCAGGTTCCAGATTGGGGCCACGGTGTCTGGCTGCACATTGTAGCCATCATCCACAGCCTTACAAACAATGTTCAGTTCCTTCTGTCCAGCTGGCACAGGGACTTGCAACTGCCACAGACGCCATGCCCAGGCCTTCCTGGGGCGCTGTTCCTCTCCATCCAGCTCAGCCACCTGCCAGGTTAGGCCCCCATCCAAAGACACATCCACCCGGATCACAGCCCTGCCACCACCACTCCATGCATAGCCCTTGATGGTCACTTCCCCTGACTCTACAGTCTCTCCATCCTGGGGCTCTGTGATGGCCGACTGGACGGGAAGTTCCTGAATGGATGGAGCAGAGTCAAAATTGACAGTGTCCCAGTCCACAGATGGAGAGAAGCCTTTGTAATCCCGCCGTTGCCAGTGGCTGTAACTTTCCTCTGGCTGCACACTTACTCTGCCCAACCATTTGACATGGCGGGCACCCACCACTCCAGGAACCACCACACGCACAGGAAAGCCATGGTCACGAGGCAGAGGCTGCCCATTCATCTCATATGCCAGCAGGACCTCAGCTTCAGGGTCCATGGCCCGAGCCAGAGGGATGGATGCTCCATAGGCAGTCCCAGTAGGGTCTGAGTCCAGTCCTTCAAAGCAGACGTGGGCCTCAGTTTCACAGAGTTGGTGGCCAGCCTGGGCTAACACATCACAGAGCCGTGCGCCACCCCAGCGTGCAGTGCTGATGGCTCCTGTCCTCCACTCTAGACCTTTTACTTCTTTGACCTGAGTCATCTCAGAGCGCCGGTTGCCAGCACACTGCAGAGTGACTGTGATCTCGTACTTGGGAAACTTGTGCAAGTCATCCAGGGACAGAGACAGTGACTGACCCCCAGGTGCTCCTACTACGTGTAAGCGATAGGTGTCTGGATCCACGTTAGGTACAGGCAGATGGTTCCGGGTGAAGAAGATAGGGTTGGGTGTGATGTAGTTTTCTGTCAGCAGCTCAGGCGGGGGCTCTGCATTAAAGGGGCACTGGCTGTTGACCTTCAGGGCTGGATGACGTACAGGATCATCAGCATAAGGGTCAGAGGTCTCCACGGTGGGGGCTACCTTGTCTTCAGGGTTCAGCTCCCCAATCTTGTATTGAGCCAGTAACTCACGTACATGGGACTGGTTGTGAACAGCATAGAGGGCCCAGAAGGGCTCTAGGGGACCCCCAGCTGCTAGCATCAGCTTCGATGGCCCCCCTGGATGTAGGTCCACAAATTCCGTGACATCAAAGACCTCAGAGCCCAGAGTCACCCAGATCCCAGTCTCAGGGCTGGTATGGGAACTCACTTCCTCCTTAGTGTATATGTGCGTTGACTCCTGAGCAGCCTGTCGGCAGGGAAGGAGTAAGACAAAAGGGAAGAGACTATTAAGAAGAAATCACTCTAGTTCATCCTGACCCAACCCACAGTCTTGGCCACTGGGAACTGAAGGTAGCAGATTTCATCTCTACTGTGCATAAAGACTGTGTGACTGTGGACTCTGTGGTAACTGCAAGAACATGGGTCACAGCCTGGGTTGCCTGTGGAGTTTACTAGGACTGATTCCTTTGTTCTGACAATTTTTTTTTTTTGAGATGGAGTCTCACTCTGTCACCCGGGCTCAAATGGCCCAATCTTGATCTCGGCTCACTGAAGACTTAGCCTTCCAGGTTCAAGTGATTCTCATGCCTTAGCCTCTTGAACATGCCACCACACCTGGCTAATTTTTATATTTTTACTAGAGATGGGGTTTTGCCATGTTGCCCAGACCGGTCTCAAACTCCTGAACTCAAGTGATCCACCCACCTAGGCCTCCGAAAGTGCTGGGATAACAGGTGTGAGCCACTGCATCCAGTCTGTTCTGACAATGAAGTCCCTTCCCCACTTACCCTACACTGATGGTCCTGATAGGCCAACACTGCACCAAGACCTAATAGGGTCCCCATGACTCTCCATCCCCCGGTGCTGGCGTTATCACCAGAGAAGGTGAGGCTTGGGCGCTGGGGCTGAAATGACTCATTTGTGGAGCAGGCCTGAATGCAGAGCCTTGAGTGGATTGACTTGAGTCTGGAAGAGAGAGAGGTCTTCTTAGTAGCATGTATGGTCATATGAAAGGGCTGGTGAAGGCCTAGGATCTACTTCTTTTCTCCATGGTTGGTCATTTGTTCCTTCAGTTGGAACTCAGTTTCTCAAGGGATAGGTGGGAAAAGTGGGATCTGGCTTTCTCTGTCCTCCCTGGACACTCTCTCAACTATCTTATTTGGAAGGTAAGACATTGTAAAAGACACTAAGGGCGGGAGATGGGGGCTAGGAGGCAAGTCCTGGGATGGGATGGCCTACCTGCAGGCCTGTTGGAGCCTGAGGACCATAGCTCTGTGCAGCAGCAGCATAGTAGCAGACCTGTAGAAGGAAGATTCTGGGATCAAGATAGGGAGAACTTGGGAGGGGATATTAGGGAGACCTAAGGGAATAGGTAGGAGGGAGACACAGAGAATGTCAGCAAGGAGCTTTTTGGGCAAATGGGGAGTCTTGAGAGTGGGAGTCCAAACGGGCCATTAGAGAAAACCTGGAGCATTTCAGAGATAGACTGTGCTGACAGGATGGCAGGTAATGAGGGTGGGGAATGGGGTAGGAGGAATGGGTGCTTCTAGAATCAACTGTCTTCCATCTTCCACTCTGAACTTTGTCCACCATAGAGAACAATGGCTGGGGCAAGGGCCTAAAGGACCACAGCCAAATGTCTACTGGCCAGTTTATTATTTCTGAAGTCAGCAGAGGGCAACTGAGGGGTAGACTGACATTTTTTTTTTTTTTTTGAGACAAAGTCTTGCTTTCTCCCCCAGGCTGGAGTGCAATGGCACGATCTTGGCTCCTGGGTTCAAGCGATTCTCCTGCCTCAGCCTCCCGAGTAGTTGGGATTACAGGCACCTGCCACCACACCTGGCTAATTTTTGTATTTTTAGTAGAGGCAGGGTTTCACCATGTTGGTCAGGCTGGTCTCGAACTCCTGACCTCAGGTGATCTGCCCGCCTCAGCCTCCCAAATGCTGGGATTACAGGTGTGCGCCACCACACTTGGACCAGACTGACTTAAAACAGGGATTAAAAAAAAGTGAAAAAAGTAGTGGCAGACTAATTGGGTGAAGGAGCCCAGATTCTGGGGGCTAACTACCTTGGGTTTGTGAAACTGTATCTTGCTATTCATTAACCAGCCCTATTTCCTGAGCAAGATACCAAGCCTCTCTGAACTTGCTTCCTCATCTCTGAAATAATATCTGCCTTGCAGAGCTAACATGAAGAGTCAACAAGTATGGCAGTACCCCCTTGTCCACTGGGGATATGTTCTACAACCCCCAGTGGATGTTTGAAACCATGGATTGTATTAAACCCTATATTACTGTTTTTTTCCCTATACATACATACCTCTTATAGTTTAATTAATAAATTACCCAAAGTAAGAGATTAATAACAAAATAGAAAAATTATAACATTATATTGTAATAAAAGGGCTGGGTATGGTGGCTTACTCTAGCAATCCTACCACTTTGGGAGACCTAGGCAGGAGGACTGCTTGAGGCCAGGAGTTGGAGACCCCATCTCTACAAAAAATAAAAAGTTAGTTGGGCGTGGTGGAGCGCACCTGTGGTCTCAGCTACTCTGGAGGCTGAGTTAAGAAGATCTAAGCCCAGGAGTTTGAGGTTACAGTGAGCTGACTGTGCCACTGCACTTCAGCTTGGCAACAGAGAGAGACCCTGTCTCAAAACAAAAACAAAAACAAAGTTATGTGAATGTGGTCTCTCTCTCAAAATATCTTTATTTTTTGGCCAGGCGTGGTAGCTCATGTCTGTAATCCCAACATTTTGGGAGGCCAAGACAGGAGGATTACTTGAGCCTAGGAGTTCAAGATCAGCTTGGGCAACATAGTGAGACGGTGTCTCTAGAAAACAAAAATAA